CAGCAGTTATCCTCCCAGACCTGCTTATGGTGCCCAAATCAGTTATTTGAACTTAGTCTTAAATTCCTTAGCGAGGTGTGAGAATTTGAGACTCCTGTTCGCAATGTACCGCTTAGCTTAAGTGAGTGCTCCTGTGGCTTAAACCCAACATGACTGCGTAGCTCTAAGCAAAGCCTTGTGTGTTGAGGGAAAGCTGGCACTAATACAAACATCTACAGCATCTTCACAGAAATCTTAAAAACTGAGTAGTTTATTGGATTGAACAGATAAAAATAAGTAACAAAAGTGGGGGTTCATTAAGTTGTTTATATTAATTTATACTCTTTCCAGCTGTGGATAACGAGTTTTAGAATAAACAGTACTGTAGATGAATATGGCTAAGATAGCATTCCAGCTTGTTTCTACCCATCAGCAGACTCTGAAATATTTTAATTTTTTTTCAAAAAAACCCTCCCACCTTTCCAAGGCTACTTTTCAGTGGCAAGAGCTACTCACAAGCCTAGTGAAACTAAAATTCACTGGTTGCAAGGATAAGAACACATAAGGTTCTTTTCATAATGCTTTTTGCTAAAATAGGTATGTATTTTATCTAAATAGTAGGATCATACACATTTTTATGTTTGGAAGTTTACTCAAAAATAGTATGAAAATAGTCTTAAAATACTACAGCTTGAAACAACACATGACAGAAACAATCTGCAGGCCTGGCATGCAGAACAGGTATCGCAAGGTTCTGATGGACAACAGGGAGAGTACAGAGTACCAGAAATTACATGATCGTTGTCATTAAAAACAGTAAAACATTAATTACATTACAGGAAATAATAATACACAGTAAACTTTGCAGTTTGTAGGTTTTGTAAGAAGCATGGTCTTAGTGCTGTATTAGTTATTACTGAAACTCAAGCAGTACTAGCTCCTTAATCTACAGTGGCACTGCGTATACGTGTCAGGATTTGCGGTTTGAGGAGTACTGGTCGTTGAGACAGGTAACGGTCAATGAAGCTGAGATAAAACATCAGCTATCACAAGAACAAATGTATAAAATTCCCTGAAAAATTGCACAGAAATCAACAGTGGCTGCTAATACCCTATAAAGCAAGAGAGAAGAAATGTGTTTTCCCCTACAGCGTGGCAGTGACCTTCAGCTAAGAGTCTACGTTGGACTTTCTGTCACAAGAAACCCAAGCCTGTCTGTCGGGTACAGAGATTAGTTTTAGGTCCAGACAGAACTGTTCTAGCCCATTCCTGCCAAGGACTTCTGAACTGCTCTAAAAAAAATGTCTTCCTTTTCACAGTAATGACGCACCATGAACTCAGCATCTTGTACGAAAGGACATTAAACTAGTTTAGAGACAATAAAAATACACCCAAAACTCATGAAGGCTTTATTCCCCTGCTTTTCCCCTTCAACATGAAGGCAACTCTGCTTTTGTCCCCCTCCCGCCTTCCCCACCCCCCTCAAATAAGCAGATGCAATCAAGGAGAAATTTATTTTGAACCAATTCTGCAAAACAGTTTAACAATGCCGTACTTTATAAAAATACTTAGTTACATAATTAAACTTATTACTATTTATATAAAAAGTGTGAATGTGAATTTTAAACTCTGTTAGGGTAAGAACCACATCAAGGTCTTCAGGTGAAACAAATACATTTTCATAAACATACAAACTCTTTTGGAGAAGTCTTATAATACACAACCATTTACAATGAACACGGCTCATTAAATTAGTGTTTTATTCCTTTACTATACAAGTGTTATTACAATGAACTGTTCCATTCAGTAATTAAAAATCCAAACAATGCCAGTGTCATATTTTGGCATTTTTTGTTATAACTGTATTAATACATAAACTCATATGATTGTGTTATTCATTTTAAAATATTTAGAAAAATTAAAATGCCATTGCATTTTTTGGGGTTTTTGATTATTTTTGTGTGTGTGGTTTTTTTTTTTGTTTTATTTTTGTTTTTCTTACATAAAGCCCTTTTAAAATTCGATAACCACAGATGTACAGGTGATGAGCGATGATGAGGGAAAATGAAAAACGATGGCACTGTTCTTACAAAGATCTGCTTGGTAGTTGGATTCAATGTAGTGTAAACCCATGAAGAATGTTCAGTTTAGTACCAGAACTATATTACCAGCTTTTCTGAAATTCATTCGTTGGATAGCTTTACAATGATAATATGAATTCCGATCTGGTAGCTAAGTTAAGAGTTTAGTGTTTCAAAATTAAAGTACATCAGCTTGATCAGAAATTCAAGAACCTCATGCAAATTGTTGAGTAAAAGACATGATGTTATTGCTTGATATGTCAGTAGCCAAAGAAAATAAATCTAGATGTAGTGTCAGCTGGGCTGAATGCCAGCAAATTTCAATGTCACTATTTTCAGACAATATTAAATATATTTTATCCCTTTAGTTTTTAAACTTTCACATTTTCTTTTGTTTATTTTCAGTTAAATAATTTCGTAGGAAGGGCAGAAGTGGGAAGAGCAACTGTGTGTAAGTGTGTCTTAATAGTCGAGAAAAGCAAAAGTGCAATCAAATCCCTGAACTAGTGACAGCTAGCATTTGTGGCACCCACCCTTGTTAACACATATAAGCCACATACAACAGTACCAACCCTGTCTCTGAAAATGGACTAAAAAGTGACCATTTACCAGCTTCAGTCTTGCTTTCCCCGCGAGCTTTGTTCAGGTAGTCTTCCTATACAAAAGCTCGCTGTTGGATTGGAGCTTAAAAGATTAAAGGCTTTCCCCCCTGATTGTATTACATAGCTTCAAGTTCAAATATCATCATACTTTATCAACACAATTTTATAAAACATTACCTCATTTTCTAGTTACCTTAATTATTCTTAATTAGCTATGCAGAAAGAAAAAAAAAGAAAAATCTCTCATGCTACTTTCCAGTTATATTAATACAAGAATTAACACAGTGCATTATGCTAATTTCTCTATTGAGGTCTACCATTTAGATCAAGTTTGCCATTCACTGTTCCGATTTCTCTTTCAACCTGCCTACCCTAATTAAGTCCATGCAAGAGGAAGCTTAAAGATCAAGACTATATATCAAATACAGTTCTACCATCTTTTTTTTTTTTGGGTGGGTGAGGGGCACACACATGTAATTTTGAACACAGGGAGTTTTACAGAACTGGAAAAGAATTGCTTGGTCCCGCAAAGTTTTTCTGCTTTAAAAATATCTTACCCCAAGATCACTTTAATGCCAGACAATTCCCTCTTTAGTAGAATGATTATCAAATGTTGGGAAAATAAAGGATTTGAAGCATTGTTTTTTCTGCTATTGTTCACACCAACACTCAATTTTTTACCCCATATTTTCAGTAAGCTTCCTTTGGACCCTGAAAATAAGTTGGGAAAGAGGAAAAAAAATAAAAACATGTCATTGGTAAATTAGATTATAACACTTTAAAAGTGGTTTTGTGCAACTGCATTATGAAATTCCAGTTTGCCATTAAGAGCATGCAAAGTAGCGAAGATTTTCTTTCCTTTGATTCCTTACAGACGTCAGGAATTCTTTGCAAGTCTTTTACATTTGGCAGATTTGTGCATGTTATATAGACTGTTGGCTTATAAATTGTCTCCAGGCTGGTACTGTGGTTCTGTAGCAGTAAAGTAGTCCTCCAAGAAAGACTGTATATATTCAAATGTTGGTCTCTCATCAGGGTCCTTCTTCCAACACAGTTTCATTAACTCATGGAGAGACTCTGGGCAGCCTTGCGGGCAAGGCATCCTATATCCACGTTCCACTTGTTCCAGAACTTCCCGATTCACCATCCCTAAAAAGAAAGCATTTTAGCTCTGAATGACCTTAGGCAAAGAACTGTTTCCCAAAGTTTTTCAAGCATCTCTCCAGCCGCAATACATGTGAATCTACCATAATAAAACCTTTAATGAACGTGCTTTATGTTCAATTAATTTTTCACATTTTGCATTAAATACATTTTCTGAAAATTAGTTCATTACACTGGTAATGCCTCAATAGCTGTTACTTCTTCCATTTGTATGTTTTCTCATTTGTATACTTTCCCACTGCCTTGGGCCTGTCCTTTCAAAAAGGAGACTCGAGCACAAATACCTTCTGCCTGCCTTGGGTTCCATTCAAGCACCACTTAATTTGAAATCAGGCATTTTATACATCTAACAGAACCTCCTTACAAATTCCAGTCACAGCAAAATATCTGACAAAATGTGTTACATATAGTTAGTTTCAAAAACTGGTCTGGCAGGTTCACTCTACTGATGCTCGCTGTAGCCTGGGAAAACGTCCAAAGTAGAAATTTCAGGAACAGATAGATAGGAAAACATAAGAATACCCACTAATCTGAAATGAACTATCAGTCACATTTACAAGTGCTATTATCTTAAAACACTTAAAAAAATATCTAATAGTTAATCTGTAAATAAAACAAGTAGCTTTGAGAACGACGGAACTGGTGAAGCGTGACTAAGTTTTTGTCTCTGCCTGCCAACTGTGGGCTCTGAATGAAGGTAAAAAGTATAAAAGGTAACTTCAGAAGCACAGAATACAACAAAGAAAAGAAAAAACTATCCAGTTTTTCTCTTACCTGGGTATGGCACTCTCCCCTTTGTTACCAGCTCTGTCAGTAAAATTCCAAATGACCACACATCGGACTTGATGGTAAACCGACCATACAATGCTGCTTCTGGAGCAGTCCATTTAATTGGAAATTTAGCTCCTGCAAACATTGGAAAGACAAGATACTCAATTCTCCCTTGCTTATGCATCACTTGCTTATACACTTCAAAATATTTATAAAGAATACTACACTCAAAATTTTTTACATTTTGCTTTGTTGACAAAATCGAGGTGGCTTAGTACTTTAATATTTCAAACTGGAAACCAGTTTCAAACTAGGGCAGCAAATACTGGCTACAATTTTTAAAAGCAGCTAAGACATCTGAGATTCTTAACTAAATATGTTTCAAGAAGTGGGATGATATTCAGAATCTGATAAGCAACCTCTCTGGAATCTCAGCTTTCTTCAAACTGTAGCAAGTTTTACCCCCAAAAATTAACTAAAAACATTTTTTTTAAATATAAGGAAACTGGGAGATAATTTTGAACATTAAAAGTTTACTAAAATTGCAGTTAGGCGAGGGAGACACCTAAACATAGCTGTGAAAGCACACATATGCATAATCTTTATTCATGCGGGCAGAACACACAGACACATTCTGCTAAATGTGACAGTTCTAAGTAATTTGAAGGTAACTGGTCTTATTTATTCAGCAAATAAATCGGTCTTACCTTGTCTTGCAGTGTACTCATTGTCCTCTATTAACCTTGCTAAACCAAAGTCTGCTATTTTACACACAAGATTGTCTCCTACAAGAATGTTAGCTGCCCGGAGATCCCTGTGGATGTAGTTCATTCTTTCAATGTAAGCCATGCCATCAGCAATCTTAAAAATAAAGTTTTATTAAAGATTATTTTTCATTACTATATACATTTCTCCCAAGCATTAAGCTGTACCCCTTTATTTTAGCTCCATTCTTGTTGTAAAAGTATAGGAGGTACAGAATAGCAAGAGCTTGTGACAGCACTGAGTGTGTCTGGCTATAGAGTATCTGTTAATTGGGAACTAGACTGTTTCTTTTTGACAAATCACAAACCTACAACAGAAGATGGAAGACAGAACAGCATACAATAGCCAGAGCGTTCAATTTTACATTTAGTTGATATCTCATATAGTTTTAAATCTCTTCTCTAAGCACAAAGTACAGTTTTCTTGGTTTATACAATGTACCTGAGCAGCCATGTCAACCAGCTGTGGAAGTTTTAAGTATTTCCCTTCTCCTTCTTTAAGGAAGTCTAGCAAGCTGCCTGTAAAAGATGACACATTTTGGGGGTGAGAAGGGAGGGAAAAAAAGAAAAAAAACCAAACATTAATTTGACCTGAAAACATGAATGAGATTTTTTTTTTCCTAGACATTATGATTTACATGTTCATCTCCCAAAACCTGTGTTTGAAAACCCATCATTTAACAAAATCCATGACTCGATGACTATGCCTGTAGTTGACTCTGTCCTGATAATTAGTTATTGCAAGTTTTATCCAAGTATTTTGGAATCCATTTCAATAATCCAGGTAACTGAACACTAATAAAACAGACTGTCACTTGATGATTATATGGCAATACACAAGGATTTTTCCCAATATTCCCAGTATCAATGCCCTTCCTAGCTGGACTTTTTTCCACAGTGAGATTTATAATTAAAGAACAAAAAAACTCCTATCCTTTACTTAAAATTTTTTCTGCCAGCTCCAGTTATATACTAGAGAAATTATTCTGAAATTGTTGGTTTACTTTTGTTGCTTTTTCTTCCTTATAGGAGAAAATAAAAGTATCTTCCATTCTTTATGATATATTATCTTCTCTCATTTGTAGAATACAATCATGTCCAGAACATTACAACATGAGTAGTATTTGAAATCAGTTCCAACAACCTGTGCTCCTTTGAAGACAGTAATCTTTACATGTGTGGTAAAACTTTGTCTCTGATGTAACACCTTTCCCTATAGGTGTTATTATGCCATAAAAGTATAGGAACATGACCTCTTTCTTAAAAAACTCATGAAGACTGATAACTAATCAATCTCACCACAGCCAAAATTACGACGACAAAATGACAAGTGTGGTGATGGTGGGGAAAAAAAAAACCAACACTGAACTGCAGATCTTGCAGTGGATTCACAGCTGTAGCCGTGATATAGATACCTCCGATGTGGTTTGAGTCACTTGCTGTATTTTTGCATTGGAAGTAAAAGTGTGGCAGGCTGGACCCACACTGCTGCTGATGTTTGTTGTGTGTGTTTGCACCAACTTTTTCCCAACTTGGTTCATGAGCTCAAAGGACCAACGAGGGGCAAAGATTTCACATTGATCTCTAGTAACCTGTCCACATCGGCAAAAATGTGGGGTACTGTGCAGTTCTTGCCCATCTCTTTTCACTATAAAGAGAAATAAAAGGAAAAAAAAAATTGCTCTACTAACTTCCAAGTATGAACTACCAAAGAGGTTTAATGTTTTCCGGTAAAATGTGAGAAGTTTTTCAAATGAAAACAGAGGCTTCCGAAAGCATTCTGAATCCATAACTTAAACATGCAACTATTTTTCCAATTCTTTACTTCTGCTTTTGCAAGATAACATCCCAGTTCTGGATTTAATCTTAAATTTTCTTAGACAGAATGCTATAAAGTAGTTTTTTTTCCTGATTGCCTTGCCAAAACCTGATTTCTGAACAATGAAAACTGATTTTGCATGGCAGCTTTAAGATCTGACAGAGAGACTGTCTAGTGTTATTGAAGAACAACAAAAACACAGAAGGAACTTTTTATATTTTTCTATTCCTTTCTACCTTTGCAAACTTATATAACCCTTAAAAACCCCAACCAAATAGGAAAAAAAGCCCCATACTGAACACGAGCAGCCTCTCTTGGACTTTAAGATTTTTTTCTATTTCTTACCAGGATAGCAAAATCTCTGTGAGGTGAACAGAAATCTGCATTTTATAAAAACTGGAATAATTGACTAGAAAATCTGCTGCTTCTTAACACTAATATGCTTATGATGTTTATTTCTACTTTCAGCCTAAATCTCTAAATCTGTTTCAGCAGCAGGGGGAGGAGGAAACAATATAGAGCAAGGGAAGAAGGATGAAAGAGTGAAAACAAGGAGATAAAGGAAGGAACATGGAAAAAAAACCTCAATCTTTTTAAAATTTACTATTAACACTGCTGGAAAAGAAAAACTGAAAAAAAAAACCCAAACCCAAGTGATTCTGTCGCTGTGAGCACAATCTGTCTACAGGCAGGTGCATTCTCATAATAATATTCCCAGCTATATCATCCAATTTAAATGTAACATGCAGTACACACTAAAAAATGAGGAGAAAAAACCACAATCTTGTACCTGTAAGATTAGCAAGGGTGACACAGATGTGCAAAAAAATCATGTCTCCACCCACGATCTAAATCAGGACTGATTTAGACTTCAAGTAGGTCAAGTGCTGCTCATTTTAATTTAATCAAAATTACCACTTATACTCCAGTCGGCTTAAAACTAACATTAATTAAACATTTAATGTTACTGGGATCTTAAATAATTTTTTACATGTAGTATCTTTAAACTAGTCTGTCACACACCTTTTGTCATGAATTCAGTGACGATGTAGATTGGTTCCTCAGAAACAACAGCATAGAGTGGAACAAGTTTGTCATGTCGTAATTTCTTCATGATCTGAGCCTCCTGCAGGAAAGCTTCTGGCATCATTGTACCAGGTTTTAGTGTCTTGATTGCTACTTTTGTGGTTCCATTCCATGTTCCTAGAGAAATAAACTATGTTTTATTCTCCTCTATAATATCAAAAAGATTTTCTTCTGAGACTGTTTGCTTTTTGCTTCTGTTTTGTTAGCTAACAGTGTAATTATAAATTAGAACTATATTGAACATTATTTTTACCTTCATGTGACTGATCGTAATCGGTACTTTTTCTTTTCAAGCCTTTATCAGATTATTTTTTCAGATCCCAAGACTGATTTACTTAAAATACAATTAAAATGTTGATACTGAACAACTGAAAGATGTCATGTTAAGCTCTTACCCATCCATACTTCACCAAAACATCCTTGGCCTAACTTAACCTCCAGCCTCAAGGATTCTCTAGGAATTTCCCAAGCATCTTTTGCTAGTCCCTGTGTTTGTGGTTTCACAGTGGGACACACAGTTGTTAGCTTATGACACAGCCCATCGGCATGTTCTGGAAAATTAAAGAAAAAGAAAAAAAGAAAAGCTTTGTCATTAAGCAAGGGTAAGACTATAACAAAAGTAACATTCTAGTGTTGATAAAACAAACTAGTCCATCTACTGTTTGTTGAAATAAAAAAGAAATTTTATAACTGTGAATTTTAAAAATAAGCTACATAGACCGTTTTTCTTCCTCATGAGAGGCACAAGGTAGCATTGGGACACTAGAAATTGGGCTTACCTCTGTAGTGTTTCACCAACTTCTGCAGAGATTCAAATTGTGCTCTGGTTGTGATATAGTATCCACCATTGTCAAGTTTTCTGATTTTGTAGTGTTTCACATTATCACCTCTGACCTCATCCCAGTCACGTATGGAAAGGGAGTAAGCACCTAGGAAACAAGTCACACTTGGCTCTTCACCAAAAATTTAAAAACGTATTTACCGTATCTCTCCCACTGTTACTATACACATACATGGGTGCACACACACATGTAAAGTGTGATGGACATAAAAATGCTTATTATGTCCATCTTGGCAGAGGATGGGGAACGGAGAGAAGATATATACATATACATACCTTTAGTGGTTTCACTCTCTCTTACTAAGAAAATACCACGCTGGTTCCCAGGATTTAAAAGTAGCCTTTCTGCATCCTTCCTACCCATCTTACCAAAATACCACCTAGAAAATGTTGAAGGAAATATGTTTAAGTAAAAGCTTCCTATGCTTTGGTAATCATATAAATACAAGATTTAGAAATCTCAAGCACTGACTGGACTACTAATATCCCAAAGCAGATACAGATCAACAAAAGAAATGACATCTATAAAATCAAAGGATTAGGATGACCTATTTCTACATGACTCTCATTGCTATTGTTTGCAAAATACATGTGAAGAGGCCTCTATCTGCAAACGCTATGTTTTTCTGATGATTTAACAATGGACATCCAACAGCACTGAACATCGAAAGTAACACTCCCTGGTTAAGAAGCTCACAGGTCAAGCTGAATCAGATGACATGCTCTCATAGCACACTCAAAACACACCACAGCAGCTAAAACTACCTTCTCTAAGAAGTTTTCTCTATATGTTAGAAAATAATATTTAAAGCAAAGTGGGAATGCATGATTCTGATACCAAAAAGTACACAAATGCTTTAAAACACCTGTGTTTTTTCTTGCCTTAAGTTCTTTCATAAAAGGAATTTCTTCTTTCATGCTGTCGCAGTACATGCATCCTGACGAACAGCCTCCACAAAGCTCTGTCCTGAGCCAGTGATGATTTTAAGGTCTATCTCCCAGTGAATCCCCAGACTTTGGAATAACACTTATTTCTAACCACATTTTATTTTGATTGTGTGCCTCAGAAGTCACAAAGTGGCTTTTTCATTTGGCACTGTCATAGCATCAAGCAAATCTGGCTTCACGAGTGTTGGGAGAAAAAAGTAGTACTAGAAACTGCTGCAGAACTGTGGTTTTGTGGGTGAAACTTTTTGTGGAGGTAAGGAGGGGAAAAAAGGAGGTAAGGAGGGGAAAAAAGAAGGTAAGGAGGGCCATTTTGTTGGCCTGTGAACAGACTGGCCTGTGCAATCACTTGCGAATTTGAAATTTATTCTTACTTTTTATAGTATTGATTTTATAGTTTGACTGTTTAGATGTGCAAAGTCAGAATTGGTTAGGAAAGTACATACACTTGAGACAATCTGGATGTAACCTATAATCTTACTGAACCCTCATTAATTACTTCACATGAAAATGCCACTTCCCCAGACTGCTACAACAATTTACAAACTATGTTGTAAAGTGCTGTTTTATTTCATTACCTATAAAATAATAGCAGGGTTTACTCAGTCTTTTTATGAGCATTAAATATTTATATTATGGTATCATTCAAAAGGCACATGGATAATATGGATATCGTCACAAGCAGTTTGTGAAATAAATGCCTTCAGGCTTAGAAGAGACCACCTAAAGAAAATCCTAGCAACTTGGGGCTGAGTATTGCTTTTGCACTTGTAACTCCAACTGCAGCCACAACACAAAACCTATAAACGCTATCAAAGCCCAGGGCTAACAAATTAACTTTAAAGCAAATGAACTCGATTCCAAATGTTGTGGTGACATTTAATAAAATTCACACTTGTTCTTTAAAACAGTTTTAAAAAGCTTCCTCATTCATCACTCCTCCCTCTCACCTCCAGTCATCACATAAACCTATGAGAAATCCCACAACCCTGTTTTGCCAGTCTTTAGGAGCAATACTCTCTTTGCAGAAACACTGCATTCTTAGTTTGCAAAGGGCTACCATTTCCATTTTACCACCATTACTGCAGCTGTAATGAGAATATGATTTTATTGCATAGTGTGTTTTTTTTTTTAAATAAAATCTCAACTTTTTTTCAAAATATCTGAAGTCAATAATTTTAAAAACAGCTGAAACTCAAGGGCATAAAATAACAGTGCATCTTTGATGCAATCACTTTTCAATAGCAAAGAGCCAGGTGACAGCAGCAGCAAAATGCTACAGCCTCAGCAACATGCTACAGCCTCAGCTTGAGATTCAGGAAACACCTTGGAAATCAGGCACTTTTCCCAGAAGTGCAGTAGCAAACACAGAAGCGCGCAGATCACGTATCAGGGAATTGCTTATTGGCAGTACTATGCCTGTATATTGAAGCAATAGCTGCGGAGCTTTCTATTTCTAGTACAACAAATATAATTAATCCCTTGGAACAAGTATAACCTGAAATCATATCCCAACTCACAGTTCCCAAAATAACTTTATGTGATTCTGTAAATGCTCTGGGATCTCTGTTCGTAAATAAATGTAGGAACTACTGGCACCCAAAGCAATACAATTTTCTCAATTCATGTTAGTCCTTAGCGTGCCTAACAATTTTGTCACCAAAAATGTTGTTATAGATTAATAAATTAGCAATAACTGTCCATACAAATTTTTTAGAATGTAAGATTAGGTGCCACCAAGCATATAGCTGATCTTGAATTAGTGTTTGGTAAAATAAGGATAAAAAACCTAGAGCTGATGGTGCGTGAACTCTTTTAAATAAAAACTATCCATTTTCGGTTTATATGAAATACAAAGCATGTCCGCCAATTCTTATCTTCATTATTGCATTGTCCCATCCTTTTTCCTTTAGCCCTACATACAGCAAGCAGGCATAAAACATTTTCATGAGTGTCCACCTTACGCTTACTAAAAATTATACCTTTGACATCATCCAAGTAGCACTGCTATCCTTTAATTAGTAGTATTGTCCTACTTTACCCTTAAATGTTATATATACTGAAATAAAGGAACAGTATCATCACAGGGCCCAAAGTGTAGAATGGATAATGATAATAGATTGACAAGATACGATGTCTTACTCTTCTGCTTGAATGGAGTCTGCAGGAGCTACATAATTGCTGGGGATGTAGCCTGTTTTTCCTGTAGCAATGGATCTTGCTTCCCACCAGTCTCCTTCCCTGCAATTCAACATCAGTTATCTCTTCCACATATAAACAATACATCATTCTCTAGCAGCTATAACATCCTCACATATGAAAGGTAGGTTAAATTTAAGTAACATTATTTTAATCAAAGGCATCTAAAATAGTTTGCACTGCACCTAAATACATTTTTCTTTTAATTGCAAGCAACACAAGTGCCTCTTAGCAGAATTTTGTAAACATTTTTTTTTGCTTTGTGTGTTGTTTTTATTTTTAATGTAAAAGGAATTTACACATACAAAATGAAAACCTACAACAAAATGTTTTATGGCAGAGGTGTGTAAATAAACTTCCCAGTTCTCTATTCTTCATCTGCCTCTCCCATATCATTCTGTTTGTATGCTGACAGTGAGCAGCAACAAAGGAAGTAAGAAGTCAACTAATAAAATTAGAGAACTGGATAAATGAAAACTGCTACATGTATGAATTAGAACTATTACCACAGCCAAAAGTTGCATGGAAAGAAATATCCAAGGTGAACAAATTATTTCCTTTACATAAGACTTCCACAAATCAGGCCATAATACTGTAATGCTGCTGCAATTAAACTACAATATCAAACTACTCCTGAGCTATCTGAGCATGGATTTGCTGTGGAGGCCAGCTAGATGCACTTCCACAGCCAGGAGTCCCTGCCTACAGCCAGGGCGCTTGCCTCTGGTATTTGTGGAGCAGTGCTGCCGGCTGCTCCCATGTTCCCCTCAGATATGGAAACCTGTCAGAGAACCTGCGAGGCACAGAGTCTGGGATGCAGTTAAAGAGCCTGCGTCTCCACCTCTGCTGCCCCAAAGCGGGTAGCCGTGTTTCGCTGCAGCAGCAAGTGGAAGGATGTCACCCAACCAACCGAGGAGAGGGCTTGGGGCTGCCCCAGTCACTATGGGTCTACATCTGCATCCAAATCCTGACCTCAGCCTGAAGATTATTGTCTTATCAGTATAAGTATTTTAATGCCATGCTTGTTGAACATTTCATCCATTTGAGAAAAGAAAAATAATAAAAATCAATCTACTCTTCACTGAACACAGAGATTTCAAGAAGAGTTGAAGATCTATTTACTCCCCACAACAACCAAGTGAAGTCTGTGAATGAGAACACTTACGTGTTATTTATTATCTGGAACCGTTCACCTTTCTTAAATGAAAGGTCATCTGTAGTTCTAGCTTCATAATCATATAAGGCCACAAATACAGTAACACCACCTTAGGAAAAAAGAGAAAAAAAAACCCATATGATATGGCAGTAACACTGCAACACTTGATTTAAGGACTTGTCCGTGAAACAACTCGTCAATTTTGATGTGGAAACAACTAACCACTCTGGGTTGCATCTCATTTTGGAAGCTGGATCAATAATCAGCTCATTTCTCGAGACAGAGGAGAGCCTATAAACAGACACTCTAAAAATATGCTTCCACACCACAAAAGGCAGCGAGCTACATCACTGGAAGTACTTTAATAATTAGAGCACTTATATACAGAAACCTGCAGAACACATCAACAATACAAAAACCTAGCTTCCTTATGAAGCTAGCTTCTTATTAAGGAATGCAATTCTAGAAGACCCCTTCAACACCACAACGGTGAACCATCAGCCACTAATTTTCACAGTAGTTTCCTGTTGAACTTGGCTAGAAATGACTGATATGTTCCCAACTTTCTGAGGTTACACATCAAGACCTACTCAAGGAATTGAACCAGAAATTGGAAGGTGGTAGAGAAATCTGGGAGCAAAGTTGAGCCCAGGAAGAAGAGAGGGGTGAGGGGAAGGTGGTGTTAAGATTTGGTTTTATTTCTCATTATCCTACTCTGGTAGGCTACTCTTGGTAACAAATTAAATCAGTTTTTTTCTCCAAGTCAAGCCTGTTTTGCCTGTCACCATAACTGGTGAGTGATCCTTCCCTGTCCTTATCTTGACACATGAGCCTTTCGTTGTATTTTCTCCTCCCCATCCCAGCACGGAGGGGAGCGAGCGAGTGGCGACTTGGTGCTGAATTAAACTATGACAACATGTGACAGATGGATGGTAGGGAGGAGGCTCCTATACTGATGGTAGGAAAACTTTTTCTGTACTTAAAAGAACTGATCTATAAAACTGGGCTAAAAGAGAAAGAGGCAAAGAAGAACAGGCTATATGAGATCCACAAGCTGCAAGCAAAAATAAAGAACAATGTACCATAACTAGGAGAAAGTTAAAACAGAAAACTGCAGATGGGCGATTCCAAAAGACCTTTTGAGCTCTAGAAATGCTACTTCACAGTCTAATGGACATTTAGGAAGCCTAATGATAGTCCAAGCAATTACTTATTTTTAAATGTATAATATTACATCTCTAACATGCACACACATGTACAAAGATACACATAGAAGATCACCAACAGAAACCTGTTGCATCTCATTACAGATATTAAAATTAACATGACAGTGATCAGAAAGGAAGAATACATAATGCAATGGGTATCTAATATTCTTCTGCAATGTATACTTTCTAACATAAGAGCTCCTAATCATTTAAATGTTTTCATCTGATTTAGAGTCTTTCTGTGATTACACTATCTCAGCAGGCCTCAGCTGGAAATGAATTTACAGTTCCTCAAGGAAAAACAGAACAAAAAATCCCCAGAGAAGGTTAGAGTAATTGAGTTAAAGTGTAATTTATGAACTGAAAAATAATTAGAATATTCCCTAGAAGTTAACATTTCCTAATCTAAGTTAAAAATCAACAGAGTTCTACGAATTTTTGCCTGCATTACTATGTTACTGCATTATTTTGATGACACAAACTGCTACACAGAGCAAGAAATTTGTGGAGATGCATACCATATTCGCACAAACAGAAACCAAATGTTACGGAAATAAACCATCCCCAGAGAGTTCTTCAGCAGACGAAGAAAATCAATACTCTCAAGCCACAGTATTATAAAAGTTTTTAACTGTATATAAAGAAACTGGGAGACTCCAAGAACTTTGAAACAAACTGTACTATAAAGATACTAACGTGGGAACAAGAGATTAATTCCTCTAGACATTGTAGCACTAGTCAAAGTAATAGATTTGAATGTAAACCATGGAATAAGAGAATTATCAGTAATTATCATTCTTTGCGTACTCTTAACTATTTTTAAAGAAAGAATTGGAAAAGCTAATATAAACCTTGGAAAGTTTTGATTTCAACACTTCAGCTACCATGTAACCTCTTTTTATTCTCACTCACAAGTGCTATTTATTTCCTAGCAAAGAACAATAAAATACTTCAGGAGAACAGCACCAGTACAGAACATTTTACACAAACAGATACCACTCAAATGATTTCTTAAGTCTCTTGCAGCCGTTTTCTTTGTGAATCACTGCAAGGTGATCTAGTTTATCTGTTCAAGCTATTTGTGGTCATAACAGCTCCCTTAAAAGTTATTCTTTCGTTAGGTCAGTATTCCCGTCCTCTAATCTAGGACTGGCTTTGGAGAGAAGACTTTACTTTCTTATTCAGTATGGGGATTACAGAGCACAAGTGCTTACATGCCTTCACAGAAGGCAAGAACAGCAGTTCATTTTTCTGTTTTGATTTTCAGTAATATTCTATGAATTCAAAGTATCTGATGACTGAGTATGTGTAATATAGGAGCAGTGTGACTAACTCAGATTTCTTCTCCTGTTCTGCTCTAGAGGAATAAAAGATGGCTCAACTCTTTTCAGCCTCATTACAGACCATGATGACAACCATATCATCCTTTTGTCAGATAACACTGATGGACTGGATAAGTACTACTGACAGTTATGTCCTGTTTGACAAGCCCATCTATTCTCTCTTGCAAAGGGTCACAGAATGCGATCCAGTGTTTTATTTGTCACAAATATAGAAAGCTTACAGCCGGATGAAGTTCATCATCTTATTCATTCACAAAAACACTCAATTTTGACTGATCTGAAAAATGGTACTGAATGTACCAAACAATTGCTGGTGCTTTTTTTTTTTTTTTTTAAGTGTGTGTGTTTGTGGATGGGCTGGTTTTACAAAATGAGGATGAATAATTACATATGCAGTATTATTTTACCTGATCACAAAACAATGAGGGCGTTCAGCCAAATCCGCCTGCCTGCTGATAACTGAATCCACACTGATGAAATTCAAGACTATCTTTTCATGGGAAATCTCTTCTGTTGACTCTTGTTCAAGATATAGCATGCTTAACTACCAGAAGGAACAAGGACAGGCAAGGGAACATCTCTTCTGGTCTCTGCAGCAAAGGATTTGTGGTAACTGGTGG